GCTTAGCCCATTAGGAATACCTTTAAATCCTTGAGAACTGAATTGCTGGCCTTGCCTGAGAATTCACTATGATGTTTGGCTAGTGTGGCCAGGGTCTTCTGACCCTTCACTTACTTGCAGGCTTACTAACACTCTTGTGCAAGGTTAGTCCAGCTAGACACAGCCATGCCCTCCTGCCCACCAGATTTATGACCATAAATGGGTATGTAAACTTTTCAAAAACAGTACATGCTATGAAAAAGAAACTTGGAACAGTGTAAGAAGAATCCAGAAGAAATAGTAGATAGATGAGTATATTTAAAATGAGATGGTCCAAGAAGAAATCATCTGAACAAATATTTGAAGAGGTTTTGCAGCATTTTGAAGAAGACTAAATTAGACTTTCATGTACTTCATTGTTAAAAATCTATTGACGTGCCATAATGTCAAATTCCGTTTGAAGAATAACATCTCAGTACATAAATAGCATCATTTTATTTTGATATATTAATTGTTACTTACACTTATTATTTTACTTCAGATTTTCTTACCACAACTAGCATACAAAAATAAACACATGTATTAAACATCTGTGCTTAAATTAGCTAGAAATGTAATACCTTACATTGGCAGGTTCATTCTTTTTGTTTTTCATTTACTATTTATTCACTGAAGTCCAGAAAAAGAAAAATTCTTGAACTTCCAAGACAGACAGCATTTCTAACCCGTTTGAGGTAAGCTTTAGACTAAACCATATTCTTTGAAACTTGAGATTTACACAAATCAAAACCCAACTTCTTCATTTTGCTCAGAGTTAATCAATCTGAATTTTTTTTTTTCAGTAATTTGCTGTATGTCATATAAATCAGACACATGATATTTTATTTTGTTCAGGTTTTTCTGTTACTTTTCCCATTTATATACGTTTACCAGACTTTTATTTTTTAGAAATTGAAAGTTGCTATGTTGTATATTGAAACAGCTGTGAAGTTTATAAAAGGAAGAGAAGGAAATTTTAACTTTAAGATGCTGAGAAGCAGCACACATTTTTATTGGTTTAAATGACACTGTTATGAAGAAATAATTGCATGCTTCCTCAGTCTGAATCTAATTTGAGCTAATTGAGAAAAATAATTAGAAATAAATCCAGATAACTTTGATGTCTTCCCAATAGAATAATTTTATTTCCCTTTTCTTCTTATTTATAGCTCTCTTTTTGTTGGTTCTGGCCCCTGTGAGCTCAGTGTCAAAGTATGATTAGCTGCTCTGTTTCTCCATAAAATCTGAGGTCACAGCATCCCCAGCTGTTAGCTCTATTTCCATCCTGCCGTTTACCAACTAATAAATATCTTAATAAATAATATACATGAGGTTAAAGAACTCATTCTGTGTAATTTAATGTACAATAAAATGACAGATCTATTATACTTTCCAAACCCAATTTCTATCCAGAGAACAAGCAAGCACAATTAAAATTAATCATTAACATTTGAAGTTGAAATTGAATATTCCAGAACGTAAGCATAAACATCTCATTTTTCTTTATCCACCCTTTTTATTAATATAAATTCATTGTACAACATCATGGATTTGATTATGACCCTTTTATAAGAGTGCATCATAAAATTTCATGCTATCTGACCCCAGACAGTCTCCTTTTGCAAAGATGGGAACACATCCTTTGTCCCTCACGGTCTCCTGTTCAGTTATAAAAGGATATTTATTTTGGCCTTGATCATAATATAAAAACAACTGGATACTCAGATATGAAGTTTCCTTTAGATAAATTATGATATCGTTAGGAATGGAGAAATGCAGCTGTTTGGGACAATAAACATCTCTGTGCAAGGTCCTAAAGTTTTCTGTAACAAAAGTAGTGTTTATTCACCACTGTTCATTATCACCTGGGTTTATTACCTACAGTTTCAGTTTTATTTTTAAATTTTAAGAGCCAGGAAGAAATACAGTCTTCTCCGCCCTAACTTGCATTTCCCTCAAGACAGCATTTTTAAAGAGTTATTTATTTTTATGTTATGGTTATGAGTGTTTTGCCTCAGTGCCTGCAGAGGTCAGAGAGGAAGTCAGAACCCCTGGAACTGGGGTTACAGATTGTGGGGAGCTGTCCCATGGATGCTGGAAACAGAATCTGGATCCTCTGGAAAAGTGGCAATTGTTCTTAACCACTGAGCCATCTCTCACCCCCAACAACACATTTTAGTATGTATTTGAAGTCTAAGTTTGTCTCATGTGAATTGCAATCTGTTTCCTATGGCTATCTATTATTTCTGGGTTTATTTATGTTTCTGAAAAAACATGGAAATTTATTTTAACTATTTTTCCAAATGAACTTTTAAAATAATTTCATCGATTTCTCATTAAAATATCAATGCTTTATGAGCACTCTTGATATGTTCACATGAGAAGTCTTTCAGTCTAAGAGCAATGAACTTCTATTTAGTCCATGCTCCACCTATGAGTCTATGCATAGAGGTACAATGTTTCTTATTTGTTCCTTTACATACCTGTTTAATCTATTTCAACACACTTTACCTTATATTATTTGAAATTAGAGATCTCATATTTTCAAAGTGCTTTTTTTGTTTGTTAATATGAATGTTACTTGATTTTTTTATTTTTTAATTGTGACAACTGTATACACAACACACTATTTTGATGTATCCATGCATTGTGGAATGGCTAGGCAAGTTAACTGACTTGCATATTGCCTCACTTACTGAGATTCCATGATCAGAACTTTCAAATCTACTCTCTCAGTGGTTTTCAACTATGTAATGCATTGTTATTTGGCTACTGAGCGTGTTTGTGTGCAGGTGTCCATGATCCTGTGCATGGGTATATACAGCCATACATGCATGTGTATTCACATGTGTGTGGAAGGCAACTTCAGGATCAATTCTTGGGAGCTGTGTCACTTGGTTTTTAAGACAGGATCTCTCACTGAGGCCAATAAGCCCCAGGAACACACCCATCTCTGCTTCCCCGGTGCTGGTATTACAGGTCCACACCATACCACAGGTGCTAGGGACCTAACTCTGGTCCCCATGCTTGGGCAGTGAGAGTGTACTGAATGAATCACCTCCTAAGGCACCAGTTACTCATTTTTATATCCACTGTTAATTTGAGATTTTATTGAAATACTTTTCTTTCATATTATTGGCATCTAAAATTTAACTATTTTCTAGATAAATATTCCCTTAACTGCCAATGGTGAGGTTTCCACTTTCTTTAAAGTCTTTACGTCTTTCCTTACTCTACCTTATGGAATGATGTTGCATAGCAACGACAATGGATTGCATCTCCTCTGCTAATCTTTAATAGAAACGTGGTCATTGTTGAGCTGATCATGGCTTCTGGTTTGAAATCATCCATTTCTTTATATTGACTCTTTTAAATTAGAAATTAGTACAAATTTTATCATTTAGCTTCTCAGAATTGCTTCCCTGTTGACTTCTTGCCTGGTAATGTTTAGATTTATGGATAATCAGCTCTCATCAGATGCCTGGTGTGAACTTGGCTTGGCCAGACCACAGTGTTGCTTCACTGTGACTGTTTCATCAGCAGGCTGAAAGTTCGTGTGGACCTGCTTAAATGACACTGTAAGTCCAGCTCTGTGTCATGTTTGTCTGGTTTACACCAATGCTGTGCTATCGATAAAATAGGAAACATCTTCATTTCCTGTGCTTGGAAACCTTTTGAAGTATTTTTATCCATCTCAAACATTTGACTAAATTCCACTAAGAAGCTGTCTGAGTCTGGAGTAGTTTAAAGCAAATAACTGACTATTTTTTGCTATGCTAATTTATCTATTGTGTCTTTTTTTGTGTAGATGTAACAGTCTTATTAAATAAGAAACACAGAGCCAAATGCAGAGTTAAAAGCCCAAGAGGTCAGAGCAGTAGCTGAGAGCTGATACTAAAATCCCTTTCCTACCCTTCGCTGCTGCTGCCATCCTTCCTCTCCAAAAGAGGCCTACTTCCTGTGTGTCTGTCCTTGTATTGACTTTCTGTTCTGCCTTCTTATTGGTTGTAAACCCAACCACATGACCTCCTCATCACTGCCTGTCTAAACAGACCTCTAGGTCTCTATGGTTGGTATTGAGATTAAAGGCGTGTGTCTCCATGCTGGTAGGGTCCTTGAACACACAGAGATCTGCCTGTCATGTGATTGGGATTAAGGGTGTGTGCTACCACTGCCAGACTTCTGCTATGGCTTGTTATTATCTCTGACCCCCAGGTAACTTTATTTATTAACATACAAATAAAATCACATTCAGCACAAATAAAATATCACCATATTTCCCCCTTTCAATTTTAATAAAAAGAAAAAAGCAAAAGGTTATAACTAATATAAGAAAAACTATATACAAAAAGTACAATAACTATATATAATATATATAAGCAATAAATACCTAAACAATGTCTAGTCCATTTGCATTTGACAAATTCAGTGAAAATAATTCCATTATCTATCCTATTTTGATAAGTCCAAAATGTACCTGGTTCACTTTCAATCCTAACTTATATTACTGACAGAACTATCTTATAAGGTCTTGCAAATTTATACACTTACCCCTCTTTAGTGAGTTTCTTTTCTGAAATCCTTAACAAGGAAAACTATAACTATAACTATCTAATCTTCAACTATAACTAACTAATCTTCAACTCCCTCAGAGACCCAAGAAGGAAATAATATCACCTAACAAAAGTAAAAACAGGAAGTGCATACAAGCAGCTTCCAAAAAAAAATGTGAGTTGACAGAAATAGCCAGCTGCCTGGACAGTCACCCGAGGTTTCTCCGCAGTGTTGGGGCATCATCTTCAGCCTATAGGCTTAGCATATCTGACAGACTCATTTGTGAATCAGGATGTACACAAAGTCAACAGTTCGACCTCACATTTGGTGAGAGCCGTCCATGTACCAGAAATACCTGAATTCCACTAGTGTCATATCATGATTCAGGATTTTAAATTCTGGAAATTGTTGATGTTTTTAATTTTTTGAATTCAGCTGTCCATTCTTCTTGGCTATGTGTGTGTGGCTTCATCTAGTCATCCCATTCTTCTCCGCATCCCTTTCTCCTCAACTTGTGAGTGGCTTCAACACTTTTATTAAATGCCAGTCTACCATTGAGAGGTTAGACTCCATCAGCGTAGTTACTCTTTCAAGAATAACTGTTTCAGCTACTGTTCCACTGCACATCAGAAGCCACTAGTCCACTGTCTGTTCAGCTGCCTTTGAAGAAAAGGGCACTATACCTTTTCCCGATTGCAAAGGCCACTTCAGGGATGGTGACATATTGTCCTGGCCTCAGAAGATGCCTTTTGTTAAAGCTACAACCATACTTGTCTTGGCAGGAATCAGTAGTCCTTTGTTTCATGTCCTGTCTGTCCTGTTTGTTCTGTTTGTCAGCAGTCAATTAAAGGATACTTTGTTGTCCAGTGACTAATTTTTGCCACAATGAAAGTTAACTCCATATGCAGTTTCTTCAATGCCCATATTTTCTCTGAAGTAGATTGGTACTGCCTGGAGCCAACATGTCTCATAGTCATAATAAACAAAAGAAAAATTTTCTAAGTTATTAAAACATTTTAAATGCGATATTCTGTAGATCTCTGAAGGGTTTGAAGATGACCTGTATATCTAAAATATATCTGCTCGATCTTGAAAACCCACCTAATATGCCTACAAGTTTGAATGTAATGTCTAACTACTAACTTTCATTTCTTTATATCCTAATAGTTGGTAATAATAGCATTCAAGGATCAGCAAATTGCATTACATTGTTAAATGAACAGTATAAGTACAATATCTTGAACAAGATTAGAAATATACATATAGCATTTTCTAACAATATCAATTTCAATATATTTAATTTGTATACAATATACAAAAATCCAATCCAATGTATTTAAAACTAGTAATTATCTTTTAAAGTAGATTCAATAATCTATCTTTTTATCTATATCATATCTATATCTTCTCTTTATTTTTCCAAGTAGACTCAATAATCTACCCTCTATTTTATCATTTCTATGTATCTTTTTTTAAAAAACAAGAACCTTAAATCTAATCTCCTTTGCTTAGCTCTTTTCCTAACCCTTAACAACAACTTGTAACCAACCCTCCTAAACAATGAAAATTATCCCAGACCCAGAATCCATTAGAAGAGCAAAAAAAAACACCCACCCACCCCTCCTCTTTGGGAATGTGGGAGTCGTATTCTTAAAATTGCTTCCTGCTGGATATGGGCAAAGGTATCTTTATTCTCAAAAGAAAAATTTTGGGTTAATTATCAAATTCTAGGAAAGGTAGCTATATCCTTTGTTACCCAGTTTGAGCATAATGCCAAAGTTCAGGGCTTATCTCAAGTCCTTATTCAAGTAGTCTTTTAAACTGGATCATCTCAGCTAGCCATCTCAAAATTGCTCTGAGCAGTTTGTAGTCCAAAGCTGATCTGTAAGATGATGTTTGTCAGCTTAGTGGTATTACTATTGTTCACATAGAATTATTGTTGTTGTGGGGCCCCATCTTCTTCCTGGAGACTTCAGTTGGTGTTAGGCCTGGCCATGATTTCCTGCAGAAAACTGATAAAGACTCAACACAAAGACATGTATAGGCAACTAATTGAAGCCTTTTTTTTCTAGAATTAGTATTCTATATGATCATTATTATCTTAACTAAGTTTAAAATGTATATATATTAATCTTGTAAATTTTGATATAAAATCCATACTTTAACAAAAATTTAAAGACTCAAAATAAAATCAAAGAGTTGAAATTAGTAGTAATAGAATAGTCCCTTAATTAATTTGGTTTTTCTACTGTCACATATCAGAAGATGGCTCTTTCTTCTGGCATGACACAGGGAGTTGGCATTTTCCTTTTAACAACATGCTTGAGTTTAAAGTAGGAGAGAACCATTCTCCAACTCCAAAGTCAGCTTTAAATTTTAATTGAACTGGGACTACAAGAAGACCAATAGTGTTAAATGTCTTTAGAGAAGAGAATAAACAAACATTTAGGAAGACTTATGAAATTTTATAGATGATATACCAATAGGCCATTTTACTCTTTTTCTTGCGACATTTTTTCTAGGTGATTTGTCCTTTTTCTTCAGATGTCTCATTTGTCTAGTGTTCTTCAGATTCCTTAGCCTTCATTCTCCTAAAAGACAAAAACAGAAACCTTTCCCCAAGACTAATTTTGGGGAGGTTCCCTTTTGACAAGTTATATCTGATTAAATGAAAAGGCATGAGTTA